GCGGCCCGCGGGGGCCCCCCCCCCCCCACATACATACCGTAGTGGCAGGAGACTGGGAAGTGGAGTGACCTAGCAGCCTGTGCAGCTCGACCACCATTTCCCAGCCTGGTCGTTCCGTGTTGCCAGGGTGGCAGGAAGCGGAGTGGCCTGGCCCTGGCTCACTCTGCTCTGCTCCCCAGAGTGACAGAGTCTCAGGGAGCACAGAGACCTGGTTGGGAGATGGAGGTAGAGCTGTGCAGGCTGCTGCATGGATTGCTCTGGGCTCCCTCTTCCGCAGTGAGTGCAGCACCTGACTCCTGCTTTCACCTAGCACCAAGCCCCCTGGTTATGCCCCCAGATCATGTAACTGGGGGCTTCAGGGAAAGGGGTTCGGGGGGAGTATGGATGGGGGAACTTGGAGGAAGGGATGGTTCAGGGGTGGAGCAGGAACATGGAGAGATGAGGCAGGGGGTCTCCCAGTGTTCTTGCCCCCCCAAGAAAGACCCTTTGTAGGGTTCACCCCAAGCCTCATTAGCATGCCCCCTTTAAAGAAGATATGGGTTACGCATGCTTTTCCCAGCCTGCTGGCCCATTGCTCTCCCTGCCACTTGGAGACTGCCACTTCCATGTCCACTTGTGGAATCTGGAGGCCTTTCCCCATCTCAGTTGTGATCCCCATCATCTTTCTGTGCTTTAGGTGACCCTCCATTGGGATATGTAGGGGTGAGGCACATCAGCACCACCCGTCCTTAGCACAAAGCAGCCTGTCTGGCCCTGTTGTGATTCAGCTCCCTGAGTCCACCAGCCTCTGGCAGCACAAGCCCTGCCCTGCCCTTCAGGCCTCACAAGTTCTTAGTGCGTCCCCTGGAGTCCCCTGTTCCGCTGAACACTTGCAGAATTCCAGACCTGCTGTCCCTGCAGGCAACGTGCACAGCAGCTTGTAAGGTGCAGCTCCGACCCGACGTTTGGCTCACCACCACCACTCCAATATAAGAAGTTTATGAACAAAGATCATAGGTTCTAGTGATGGGAGTAACAAATGGAATCAAGCAAAATCTCCAAGCACTTCATAGAGTTTAAACTTCAGAGGTTAAACCTTCTGTCTGCAGAAGTTTTATCTCCTCTGAAGTTCCCTGCAGCATTCTCAATCAAGCCACCAGGAAAGGCCCCTTTTGTGGAGTGCTGTGCTTTTACCTCCTTCGTGAAGGTCTCTGTGCCCCCAGAGATAGTCGAGCAATCCCTTTCTGTGAATCCACGATATATGTTCCTTCCCCCGATGTCTTTCTCTTCCTGTTGGATGCTTTTTGCAGTTCCCCACAAGCCACTGAGGGGAGGCCTATCAGAGGATTAGCCCAGTCCTTTGCCCTCCCTTGTGGGGCTAGATCCCTGACCGGGGTAGTGCTGGGGTTTGGATCTGGCTGCCTTTCCTGGAGCAGATGACTCGGAGCACAGCCATGACTGCATTACCATGGCCATACTGTTAGAGTGCCTGTCATTTCAGGAAGAGCAACGACGGGGTGGTGCAGCGCTTCGACAAGAGCCTGGAGGAGTTCTACGCCCTGTGCGACCAGCTGGAATTGTGCCTGGTGAGCTAGCCCCTTGTCAGCAGAGCTTCATGGGAGTTGTAGTTTGGTTGCTTCATGTCCCCATTCTCCTCCACAGGCCAGGATCTCCAGCGGGACTCTGTCCCATGATGCACCCAAGAGGTGCATCACTGCTGTTGCTGGTTGTGGAGCATCATGGGAAATGGAGTCTGTTCAGCTTATAAAGAACAAGGCTATGAAGCATCAAAACCATCTCCCATGTTACCAGCCACTGCAGCCGCCTCGCACCATGAGACATGGTGGCTCAGGAGAGATGTAGTCTCATCCCTCTGAAATGTTTCAATTGATTTTATTCAAAATGGCGGCGTGAAAATTCCCTTTAACTTTGATTGGTTTTAGTAAAATTCAGTATTCAAAACTGCTGTGTTCAACCCCAAACTAACTTTTTTTAGTTCTTGATTTGACGAAATTTAAAAAGGAAAAGTTGTTTCCTGTTTGACATAAAAAAGCTATTTTTGACTTCTTGGAATTGCATTATTTGCCCTACTCTGGCTTTGTTGCCCTCCGAGGCTTGGTCAGCCATAGCCGGTAGCCTGGAGACAATAGCTCAAACAGGCCTTTTAGTTTCAGCAGGGGAGTTTTCCACTATTGGATCTCAGCATCATACGATTTAAAAAGGAAAAGTTGTTTCCTGTTTGACATAAAAAAGCTATTTTTGACTTCTTGGAATTGCATTATTTGCCCTACTCTGGCTTTGTTGCCCTCCGAGGCTTGGTCAGCCATAGCCGGTAGCCTGGAGACAATAGCTCAAACAGGCCTTTTAGTTTCAGCAGGGGAGTTTTCCACTATTGGATCTCAGCATCATACGGTTGGTCCGTACGTGGCACCCAGCCATGGGTGTTGCTGCACATTCCTTCCACCC